CATTGTATAGGATACCCCCACTCGAATGTCTCCACACGAACGACCTGGATCGAGTCGTCTGTAACCTTTACAGAGTGGGCCGTATCCATAGTGTTGTCAGGATAAGGTACCCAGCCTTATCCATATACTATAGACCTTTTAGGTTATTCACGAGACATTATTCATTCATATATCAGGGGTATATCAAATATATACCCCGTATATCAACTATATACCCAGTATATATACTGTCCCGATTACATCAAAAATAACCTTGGATGTTTAGATTATTGGATTTTGGACAATGCAAAGCTATGAATCAACAACAAATTTATTGAATAAAACTTTATTAAATAGACATTTGTCTTTACAAAATACAAACTACGAGTTTAGGGCAACACACCCAACAGTTGAATCCCAGCAAGTGCATGTTTGGAGTGACTTCAGGAAAATTCCTTCATTTCTTGGTGCACCAACGGAGAATCAAAGCCAACCCAGATAAAATCAAAGCTGTATTAGAAATGGGTCCACCCAGAAACCTAAAGCAACTGCAGGGACTCAACGGAAGAATTGCAGCACTCAACAGATTTGTTAGTCGATCAACCGACAAGTGTTCACCGTTCTTCAAAGTCCTAAGGAAAAAGGGACAATTTGAATGGATGGAAGAGTGCGACGTTGCCTTCAAGGAGCTAAAACAATACCTAAGGATGGCCCCACTCCACTCAAAACTGATCGCTGGCGATGAGCTTTACCTGTACCTAACTGTATCAGACACTGCGGTGAGTTCAGCATTGGTAAAAGAATAAGATGGACAACAGTCTCCAATCTACTATACAAGTAAAACGACGGTGGATGCAGAAGTTAGACACCCCCAAGTGGAAAAATTGGCGCTGGCATTAATCACCTCGGCTCGGAGACTACACCCATATTTTCAATCCCACAAAATAACTGTCTTCACCAACCTTCCTCTATGACAAATCTTGCAAAGGCCAAAGACTTCAGAGCGACTCGTAAAATGGATCGTAAGCTCAGCGAATACGACATTCATTACAAACTGAGAACCGTGATGAAATGACAAGCTGTAGCAGACTTTATAGTGGAATTAACACCAGGAGAAGGTCAAATATGTAGCATCGATCCACAGCTAGTTGAGGAAGAGCAACCTTGGACCCTTTACATGGATGGGTCCTTGAATCTTAGAAGATGCGAGGCAGGGTTTCTACTGGTTTCCCCCGATGGGTAGAGATTCAAATATGCGCTGCGATTTAGTTTTCATGCATCCAACAACGAGGCTGAATACAAATCTCTGTTAGCAGGGTTGAAGGTTGCCAGATATATTGGAGTCATGAACATACTAATACTTAGTGATTCGCAATTGATCGTAAGTCAAGTAAAGGAAGAGTTTCAGACAAAGAACCACAAATGGCGAAGTACCTTTCCCAGGTAAGAGACCAGCTCGGTTAGTTCTCAAAATATGAGATCAGAAAAATTCCCCGTGTCCAAAATGTCAACACGGATTCATTAGCCCTACTGGCTGCAGCCTATGAGACCAACTTGGGAAGAATTGTGCATCTAGAAATTTTGCTCGAGCCGAGCATAAAGGTTCAAGAAGCAACAGATGTCAACGAATAAGAGCAACCCGAAGAGAACTGGACGAGCCCTCTAACCAGATATCTAAGAGATGGGACCCTACCTAATGAAAGGATAGAAGTTCAACAACTCCAACGACGAGCAGCTAGGTATGTGCTTAGAGATGGAAACTTATATAAAAGAGGCTACTTTTTACCACTCTTAAAATGTTTAGCACCAGAAGAAGCCGACTACGTTATGAAACAGATACATGAAGGCATTTTTGGTAATCATTATGGAACACGGTCTCTAAGCCACAAAATCGTCCGGCAAGGATATTATTGGCCAACCATGCTAAACAATGCAACATAATTCACCAAAAGATGCGATAAATGTCAGTGGTTCGTAACAGTACCTAGACAACCACCAGAATCACTAACAATCATAATGAGTCCTTGGCCCTTCGCCCAATGGAGAATAGACCTTATAGGACCCCTCCCACAAGGAAATGGTGAGACCAAATTTTCAGTGGTAGCAGTTGATTATTTCACCAAATGGGCTGAAGCTAAGACCCTAGCTACAATCACTAAGAAAAAGATCACCGACTTTATCTGGAGGAATATAATTTGTCACTTTGGAGTGTCATATACCATTATTAGTGATAATGGAAAACAATTCGACAATGCAACTTTTCGAGACTTTTGTAGGGAGTTAGGCATCAAACATATGTGTTCTTCGTCAGCACACCGACAAGCTAATGGACAGGTCGAAGCAGTCAACAAAATCATCAAAAGAACATTGAAAACCAGATTAGAGAAACTTAAGGGATTATGGGCTGAAGAACTTCCCAGTGCATTGTGGGCCTACAGAACAACACCATGTACGTCAACTGGTGAGATGTCGTTCTCATTATCATTTGGTTCTAAAGCAGTGGTATCAGTAGAAATTGGTCTCTCATCTCCAAAGGTAGAACAATTCAATTTGCCTGAAAACAATGAATCATACAGCTCAACCTCAATATATTGGAGGAACATCGAGAAACAGCGCGACTACGAACAGCCGAGTACAAAAATTGAATCGCTCGATACTACAACTCGAAGGTTAAGAAACGTAACTTCAAGGAAGGCGACTTAGTCTTAAGAAAGGTTATGCCTAGTACCAAAGACCCAACTAGTGGGGTGTTTGGACCGACATGGGAAGGCCCATACAAGGTCACCAAAGTAGTTCGAACGGGCACCTACGGTTTGGAGGTTCAACGTGCAAAGGCCCTACCCACCCGTGGCATGCTCAACATCTTAAGAGATACTACCACTAGTTCGGTAGTACATTCCATTTGTTTTACAAGCACTTTATGCCCCAACCTTTGCTCATCGCAGTCCACTAAATTATTTGCAACTTTCATCTGTTTATTCCTTTATACTATCTAGTTCTTTATTTGAACAATTTTTTGTTTTAATGAAAGCCGATTCGACATTTGACGTAATTTGTCCTTTAATACTTGAGCTATTATGTTTATTCTGAACCAAAACTTCTCAAGTAGGAGGGCATGTGTGTAAATATCTACAACTAGTCAAGAAACTTGAAATTGGGACAGGCCTAGAAGTAGGCCAAATAGGCAAAGAACCGGTCAGTAAAGGCTCAACATGGTCAAAACTAAAGTAGACAAATAAAAATCCAGGGTATAAAACCATTTGGTAAAAACCAAACTGGTTGGAAACCCAAAGGTATCATCATCAGTCTGCTAAAGTTAGATCCCAGGGCCAAAATTAAATGCTCAAGAGACTTGATCACTAGTCACAACTAGCCCTCTTAAAAACAGGAAAACCAGAAAATCTTCTGATTCATGAAGCAATACAATATCGACAAGCTCAAGGTACAAAACCAGTAGCGAAAACCAAACGTTTTAAAATCTAAAGTTGGATGCCAAAAAGTTTTTGTAGAAGCTCAATAGGTTGGGAGCCTTAGAAACGACTAATATTGCTGGAGAACAAGACTATCCATATGAGCTACTTTGTTTCGCAAGGTAGTCTCATAACAGAAATTAGGCAACAAGTACTCTCAAAACAGAAGTCTTAACATTATCGCGACCTTTGTCTTCCATTTAGAGAGTGGGGTCCATTGTTATGGGAAGGAAAACAGTCCAAGCGGGAAGGGAGATTGGACTGAAAGGAAGAAGGAAAAACCAAAACCACCAACGACTAGGGCCGGCCCAAAGCGTGAGGGCCAACCCACTTGGTGGCCGACCCCACCTCAGTGCCGACATCTTCTTGGCTACAGGTCGAGAAGATATCTCGACCTTTCTCCCGATTCCCATGCCAATGACCTTGCATTGTCACCTGGGCCCAAATCCGATATAGGAACTCACAGCATGCCAACGACCCGGGAAACCGGACTATCCTGAGATGACTTAGGGTTTAAATCCAAGATATCCTAGAGAAGAAGATCAACCATAAATAAAAGAAGGGGTCACCCCCTAAAGGTAAACAAAAAACGTCATACTCACTTTACTTAGGAATTCTCCCATTGCCGACTTAAGCATCGGAGCTCGTATGATTGAAGTCACATCGGTTTAAGGTTACTCGGTTTTGCAGGTATCTGGTCTCATGATCATCGAGTTTGGTGCATATTTTGGCAAGAACCAAGGAAACCAAAATCCACGCATCAACAGTATGTATTATTCGATTCCATGGTTGACTTCAGGGTTCCATACCGGGGAATATTACAAAATCCAAACCCACTTCTAAAATTGGAAACTCCACCCCACTTCGCCCGAGTTCAGCAAAGTTCTTTTACCTTCTTCAACCTCCCATCACCTCAAACTCACAAACAAAGAAATTGGACAAATTTTCCAAAAAATGCAATCACAAAATACAAAGATTAATGCAACCATAAAACAGTAATATTTATTAATCCATTTTCCAAAAAATGCAATCGATAACAAATAAACCTTAAAACCCTGTTTTGTTCGTCTACCCTGATTTGTTTGTCTATATGTCGAAAAAAATGGAATCGACGAAAAGAAAAGATCGTCTACACAACCAATCACCAAAAAATCAAAGCCCTAACCTTAAAATCAATGCAAAGAGTATAAACTTAAAGAAATCAACTTATCTCCAAGATTCGAGTTCAAAAAATATAGTTTTCCAATGAATAGGAACAAAGTGAGAGCCTTTCGGTATTCAGAGCGCAAGAGAGGACGTTTTGGAAAAAAGGAGAAGAAAGAAAGAAAACGGAAAAAAGGGGAAGAGAAGGAACCCAATGGTTCACTTTTCACAATAAGGGCATAATTATAATTTTGATTCTTTTTTAATTAATTAAAATAGTAATATAGGTTAGAAAAAAATATTTTAGAAAGCACAGGTCATTTGAGCAAACAGAAACTTATTTTGGGTCAAATCTATCAATTTCCCACTACTCTCCATTTATCTCTTTAATCTTCTCTTGAGCCGATGAAAATTTGCAAATAGGAAATATAATGATTTAAAGGAAAGAATTTCACTATGGAAAGAAAAACACTAGTTTATCTCGAGCAGCAATTATTTCTCCCGAATTTGGTGATAGAAAATAAGCCATGTGTATTTTCCTAAGGACCAAATCTCGTAGATATCACCATTGAAAATTTGACAATTCATTATTAAAAAAAAAATTGTTTTTACATTTCTCTCTTACTTATGAGATGATATAGGTATTGATTAATACGACAAAAATTATTGTTCACACTATAATTTTGTCTTTATAAATTATTTTTGGACCTAGGATGGTGACATGGTAGGTAATGAATGGAAGAAGTATCTATATTCTCTTCTTAGTATCAGAAATTTTATCATCTTATATCTTCATCTTTATTAAACATCAACCATGTCAATATCTTTTGTTTCTTATCGTAAATCTATATTTTCTTACAAAGTAAAAAAAAAAAAAAATCTCTTTCTTTTTTTCTGAGTTCCTTTCTCGCTGGTACAATATTAATACTTGGTTAAAAGACACATTTAGTCTCTAAAGTTTTATTAAACTAATAAGTTAGTTATTGAACTTTCAAAATAACAATTTAGTCCCTATATTTAGTTACAATTTAATCCCTACCGTTAAAATTTCTATTATAATTTAACAGAGTAATGGGTCGGTTCATGCTTGGGTTGGTTCAAATTTGGGTCCGACAAGCTCTCTAACTGTCACCAACATGGACGGCTGAAGTTGATTAAATGCTCCTTAAATTGAGGATAAATCATAAGCCAGAGGCAAAGAGCGATCAAATTAACAAACCATAGAACTAAAATTGAGCAAGAATTAGGGAAACTCGAGAACAGAATTAACTCTAACAAGAGAGAGAATAGTTGAAAAGATTCTGAAAGCCCAAAAGAATGTTTTTTTCCACATAAACAACATCTTCCCTGTTTTGCTCATTCAATTGGATTTTGAAGTTGTTCTTTGCTCTCCACCAAGATCGCTGTTTGATACACTTTCTTTGGAAGTTAAAAACATCAAAGGATTCAGATTCTGATTCTAATTCTAAAAAATTTATGGTATACAACGTAAAGGATGATTGATTTGATTCCGATTAATTCACATTTCGATCCCTAGAAGTAAATGGGGCCTAAACAAATAACTCTTTAATTTGCACACATGAATTGCCTAGCAAACCACGCCATATTTCTGTTGTATTCTTAAATTGTAACCACTTTTAAAGTATTTGACTAAGTATCCATGAGTTCAACACTCATTTGAAGAATAAATTGACATTTTCAATCATAGTACAAAAAAATCGACAAAATATGAAAAATATCAACAAAATGTCACTAAATATATACATAATATTAATATTAATCATTTTTAACTTATTTAGAAATAATAGAAAAATATTTATTTGTTAATTTTAATATTTTTTATGATTTTTATAATTTCTCCAACTTTTACATAAATATCCATTGACATTTCATGAACGAACACACACCTGGGGTAATGCAGAAAACATTATTCTCGTCTCCACTTCTACGCAAATAGGCCTCTAGCAAAGGAGTCGCAACTACTACATCGGGCAAGGTCCTATCAAACTTATGGACAACACTTGCTAAAGTCATCTCAATAATTACTGTCGCAAATACAACTCCAGGACACCATCTTCTCCCTGCTCCAAATGGGATCAACTCGAAATCCTAACCCTTGAAATGAATCCCACTATTCAGCAATCTTTCAGGCCGAAACTCCTCTACTCCCTCCCATGTTTCTGGGTCTCTTCTGATGGCCCATGCATTGATCATCACTCGAGTCGCCCCCTTAATGTGATACCCTTTTAATTTGATATCTCCAGTTGATTCTCTAAGGACTAGAAGCGGGACTGGTGGGTGTAGCCGTAGTGTCTCATTGATTACCGCTTTCAAGTAGTGCATCTTCTCTAAATCATCCTCGCTTACGTATTCTCTCTCGCCTACTATTTCTCTCACTTCACTCTGCAATTTCTTCATCACATGCGGGTGTCTCAGCAATCGCGACATTGCCCACCCCAACACTGTGTATGTTGTACCTGTGCCAGCTGAAAACATGTCCAAGATTAAAGCTTTGATGCTATCCATCTCAAGAGGAAACCCCATGGAGTTGTCTCTGTGTATGGAAAGCATAACATCCACCAAGTCCATGGAATTATGGTCCTTGTGCTCATAATTTTGCATTTGCTGTGGATGGACATGGTCTTCAATCACTGTATAAGAAAGCATTGAGTTCTTTGGCAATCCTCTCTACTTTGGTGTCCAACCCACTAATTCCATCAATCCAACCCAGCCATGGGATGAAGTCTCTCATACTGAAACTCCCAAACAATTCCCCAAATTCCAGCAGAAGAGACCACGACGATGGGGTTGCCGCCGAGCGTAGGCTTGGAGAGTGATATAGGGAAGGGAACCCAGGCTCAGAAGGTGTCCGAAAATGGGGATTCTTAGTAAAGATGGAGGTGATGGTGATGTTGAAAAGTAGTTCACCCATTTTTGGAGGATGAATATGAGGAAGAGGATGAAAGCAGTGAAGGAAAATGGATGAAATAACAACTCAACAACGCTACTCTCTATTGCTCTACTATGCTGAATTTGTGAAACTTGGAAACTAATCTTGTATCTTAAAAGGATTGAGAAAAAGATTCCAATACATTAATATAATAAGAAAAATAATTGAATATTACATTATGATTAGACTAGCTTTTATAATATTTGTTTGATGAAGATCGGATCCAAAAAATGGAACACTAACCTTGGCGAGAGCCAGGTGTCACAATCGCACCTTTTTAACACAGTTCGAGCGATTGTGCAGCACTTGCTCTAGCTTAAACGAGCAAGTCAGCCGAGAAAAATTATAAGTTGCGACCAATCTCGGTCGTTGGTCTAGCCTCAGCTCACGTTTTACGAGAAAATTGGTTTTGGAAAGCGTGAGATTGAAAAACAGTTGGAAACATCTTTAAAATAAGCATTGTAAACATTGGATCTAAGAAAGTATAGAACACTTGGTCGGGGGGAGATTTGATGACTACTTGGTCCCCCCTAAGGTACATTATAAGGCATTTTTGGTGTGGCAGGTGTAGACATGCAAAGTGGCGAGGAGTCACTCGGTGGCCTAGTGGGCCCGTGTGAACTCCGATTGGCTTGAAATTTGGCGTGCTTACATACCTTACCAATACACACCTAGTTCTAAAGCCGATCGGCCAAATTCCACCTACAACCCCAAAAACCTAATACAAACAAAGTACACTAGAAAGCTTTAAAGGCATGAAAGTAAAACGAGTGGTGATGATGGTTTGGACATGCGGCCATGGGTAACACACCCTGGACAAGCATGCCCACAACACCAGGCACCCGTTTGACTGAGAGAGAATCGGGGAAAGAAAAAGAAAATATTTAGCTCATTCATTTTTATAAAAAGTCTCTATTTTTCTATTTATCTCTTTTTGTTGCCAGATATTTATTGTTGGTGAACACACTCAAGTATTGTTCAAAGAAAAATGTGATCTATAGTAATAGGCTGAATCCATGACGGTGACAAGAGGTGGAATAGGCCAGCTAAGTGCCATGTAACTTTTTCCTTTAATCAAATGAATAGTTAACGGACCATTTTGAACCGTTGGTGAAGACAGTCAAGTATTGTTCAAAGAAAAATGTAATCTATAGTAACAGGCAGCATCCATGACGGTGACAAGAGGTGGAATAGACCAGCTAAGTGCCATGTAACTTTTTCCTTTAGTCAAATGAATAGTTAACGGACTATTTTGAACCATTTATCAGATTTGATGAAATAAATGTAAAGATCAAATAGACACTTTTATATATATATATATATATATATATATATATATATATATATATATATATATACACATTTTTTCTTTTATTGGTGTACTTTATGATTTTTCTTTCATAAATCTCTTCCAACAGAATAAAACTATTGGCCACATTTAATAATCTTCTACACCACCAGTATAGCTCAACGGTAATTGACATATATCTCTAATTAAAAGGTTGTGAGTTCGATCTCCACCACTTACAAAAAATTTCTCCAATAATATTTCTTAGATCTACGTTCGGCCATTTGCTTTGAAGATGGTGGATCGATACATTGGTATTTTCATATGTCTATGTTGACATGAGGGGTGAATTGACATTTTCGTAATATCAACAAAGTATTTAAAATAAATATTAATATAATATCACATATATGAACTACCTAATCTGTCCATTTTTCTTTTTTTCAAACTCAAGATTAATTTTTGAATTTACACACGATCAATTGCCACGCCTCTTCTTCCACCATTCTTAAATATGCCTCCTAGAAATTATTGGAGGAGGCCACTATTGGGGGTAAAAGACTTGAGCCGTGTCTGTTTTGGAAGCGCAGGACCACATACGGTTGCTCCCTGCAAGCTAGTATTACCGAGCATGACACATGTCCACCCCAATAGGGAATGATGGACCACAAACAACTAGACACTATATGTAACCGTAGCAAGAGACGGACGTCATCGGTACGGCGGGCACGCCGCGCAGTTGCAGCCTGCAAGAGACAACCTCTGAGCTGCAGGAGGTGGTGCCACACCGCGGCTGTAGGGAGCATGCTCCACGATGCTCTCCAATACAATGTGTCGCGTCTCTGCCACCTTAACCGTCGTCCTTTCTGGTCGGCCGTCCGAGGCTATAAAAGGAAGGACCCTCGTCCTCATCAAGTAAGTGAAAAAACTGTCAATCACACTTAGGTGTCTTTTTCCTATTCCGATTATTAACTTGATCGTCGGAGTATTTTAGGCGGGATACCGCACCGGCGTCGAGTTCTTTGGTTTCAGGTTCCCTTGTTTTTTGGTCGGGCTATTCGTCCGAGAGACACGTGACATTTGACTAGAATTCACCGTCAACAGTCACTATAAAATAGTTAGCAGTTTTACACGATTAAATTTATTAGAAAGAGAGTTACAAAAATACTTTGAATAAGCGATTATTAGAATCAAATCTGCATCAAAGTGTTAAGAGTAACTATATTGGCTTACATTCAATTATTTTTTTCATGCTATGCGGTTAGTGTTCGATATTTTACTTTATTTTTAGTACTTATCAACATTACATGCGCGGACGTTATTGTTTTTCTTGAATGGTAAAATTTAAAAATTGTTCAATAAAAAGTAAATCTGTAGTTGAATAATTATTTTTTGAAATAAAATAATTGATGTTTTTAATTAAAAATAAATAATTATAAAGTGAAAAATAAAAATAATAAAATATATTATATGAGGGTACAAATATATAGTAAATTTCGTAAAATTATGTCATCACGTTTTATAATTTAAAATTAATTTTATAAAATTTAAAATACAAACGAATATGCATATCAAAATAGAATAACTTAATATAAAATATGCCACTAAAAATTTAAATAATTAAAGCATTTATTAGATAGCAAAAAATTAAAATTGAATATTAAATGAGATAAATAAAATAAAATAAAATTTAACAATAAAAATACACTTAGGGTCACTAAAATTTGGAGTAGTATCAATTTGGTCCTAAAGTTTCAAAAACCAATATTTATGGTCCTAAGAAAATTTGGAATATGTGTTTATTAGTTCTTGAAGTTTCAAAATAGATATTTTTTTGCTATTGAGTTTGAAAATTTTGTTTTAAATGATTTTTGAACATTTTTTGACCATGAGTTGACTTAATATGACATGACAATTGATAGGTGACTCAACTTTTCTAACTTGACATTTTTAAATGAGTTGTAAAAAAAAATTAATTTTTATATATTTTATTTTCTCACGTGGCTCTTCTTCCTCGTCTCTCTACCGTGGCCCACTGCCAGAAAATGTGAGAAGTTGTAAATTTGGAATTGGAGGAGCCTTTTCTCCCTCGTAGCTTTCTCAATAATATATATTTGTTCAATTAGAAATTCAATGAGAAAAACTTGAAATAATGAACTTGTTTTGTATTGAATATATGGAGTGCTACAACCTCTAATATATGATCCTCTGATTAATTCTCTCAGATGTGAACTTTAATTCGAGAGCTTGAGAGCTTGTTCTTGAATTAATGAGTTTGTGTCTTCAGCTTCTAGCGTATTGAAGAATCTTTAAAATCTTCAGCTGCGAAGTTTGATGCTTGGTAAAGTTTGTGGCTTGATCTTCTCTTCGGTTTGCTTGACGAAATCCGCAGCTTGATGAAGTACTTCGGCTTGTGAAGTCTTCGACTTTACGCTTGCGAAGTTCTTCGCCTTTGCAGCTTGTTGAAGTTCTTCGGCTTTGCAGCAGTTCTTCGATTTTGCAACTTGTTGAAGTTCTTTGGCGTTGTCACTTGTTGAAGTTGTTCGGCTTGTAGCTTGTGAAGTTCTTCGGATTTGCAACTTCTTGAAGTTCTTTGGCTTCTAGCTTTTGAAGTTATTCGACCTTGTAGCTTGTGAAGTTTTTTAACTTTGCAGCTTGTGAATTTTTTCGGCTTGCAACTTGTGAAGTTCTTCAACTTGTAGCTTGTGGATGATTCTGAACGCTCTATTGACTCTGAATCTCCAATTCTTCTAGATCTCTTCTAGTCCCCCGTATGAGAGGTGACCCCCTCTATTTACAGAGCTTTGGTGGGTCTTATATGAACCATGAGCTTAACGGGCCATGGGCTTGGGCCTAGTCTCTTTATGAATTTTGATCCAATTAGTTGATTACATCGGATGACCATAAGAGAGACACATGACATAATTTAATTCGTCGATTTTAAAATTAGTTTAGGACATGTGTAATTATATCATTGATCCTAAATGTAATTTTAATTTTGTGACATGACATTTAGTAAATATATTATTTTTTCTTCCAAAACCCACCCATTTCTCTGAAATTCTTCTTCCAAAATCAAGAACTAAGAAGAAATCTACCAACAGTTGCGAACGAATAATTCAATCATCATCCTTCAAATTTTACCAAGGTAAGCGAAAAATTTGCAACATTTTGTTCTTGATCTTTCTGAACTATTTAGGGATGTTTGGTTCGCTATTTTGGGATGATTTCTTAAGTATGGATTTGTTAAATAAGGGTTTGTTTGTTTGATTGGTGCAGGAAATAGGTTTATTAAGTATGAGTTTGTTAAGTTTATGTTTGATTGGTGTTAAGTCTGGGTTTGTTAAATAATACTTGTTTAATAACTATTAACGTCTTTTTCTTTTTTTGTTTATTATTGTTATTGTTATACTAATATTGTTTTTTCTCATTTATTTATGTTATTGTAAAATTAAGTTAAATAGAAAATATTCGTGCATTTGCACGAGGTATCGAACCAGTAAGTTAAAAAGAAGATATAAAATTAAAATAAATAATTATACAAAATTATAACGTCTTTTAAAAATGTGATAGCGATAACAAAAAGTAAATAAAAATAGTAAAAGTAAAATGAATAACTATACAAAATGAAAAAAAAAACATCTAGAAATAGATACACGAACAAGAAAAATTAGATTTTTCTTGGATCATTAGGAAAAATACTTATTTTTAATTAAAATTATAATTAATTAATTTCTTCATTAATTTAATATATTTAATTAAAAAAGATTAATGAATTTTATAAGAGGAATAAGACAAAATATACACCGTAGCAAATTGGGGAGGAGGGATAAAATACTCTAGCAAACCTGAGAGGTGGAATAGTATTTATTGTAGTAAACCCGATTTTATAAAGAGATAATGCTGAGCTATTTTGAAAATTTATTTTCACACATGTCCAATGTTTACAAATTTTAGTGTCTTAGATTTTTGGATTTAAAATTTTTTCCAAATGTCAAATTTGTCCTTATTTATGACATTTATATTTATTATAATTAATATTTTATTTAAATGCAAAAGATTAATATTCTAAATTTAATTTTGTAAACATTAAATTATTGTGAGTCCTAAATCAATCATTTTCATAATCTCCTAATTTACTCTTTGATATATTCTACTAAAGAATGAAATTTATTATAAAATATTCAATTTTTCTCATAATCCCCAAATTTACTCCTTAATATATTCTACCAAATAATGAAATTTATTACAAAAATATTTTTTAATTTCATTACAATTTTTTGCCAAATTTCAATAACATGATATATATATATATATGGAGATATAAACTATATCCATCTACCCTTTCATTTATATGGAAATATAAACTATATCTGGCTATAAATTTAAGCAACATACACTTAACTATGGTGATATAAACTATAGTCATTATAACATACACTTATATGAAGATATAACCTATATTTGGCTATAAAGTATATACGACTATATCCTTCTACAATTAACAAACAAAGCACATAACCTACAAACCTTCCGGTCAGCGACTAAACAATGGTCGGGATAAACGGAGGACTCGAATGGTCGACGGGCGGCCGGCGACAAAAAAGAAACCTCGGGATAAAGAGACGGAAACAATGGACGGGCGGCCAAAGACGAAAGAGAAGCTAGACGGACTGTTCCGGCGACGAAGAAGAATGGAGACGGCGGTCGGAGACGAAGGAACGGAGACGGCGGCTGGAGACGAAGGAATGGACGGAAACAGAATGACAGAGGAAGAAGAAAAGTTGGAGGAAGTAGGTTTTCGAATTTTTTCAATAATGGAGGATTTTGGAGATTTGATATTTTTAACTTTTGAAAAGTCTAAGTAGGCAAAATTTAAGGGATTTAAAATGTAACAAGTAACCAAATATTGAGATGAGATACAAAAGGATACATTAGTAAATTGGGTGATAGGTACCATCTTAAATGGGTTGTTTCATGACAAAAGTGTGAATTTTGTACAATTAAATCCGTAATTGTAGTCTCTAAATAGTCTATCAATGTACTAATCTCTATTTTATAACATAAGCTGACCCAATTGGATTTTGCCGCAATGGACTCATAATCAGATGAGTCCAAGCCCACTTAAGACCCATGAAAGACTCTATATATAAATATAGGGGTTCATTCACCATCTAATCCATCAGATCAAAATCCACCAAAATCCTGGAAAGGATCAAAATCCTTCATCCTTATCAAAATCCTCAATCCCATCAAATATGATTAAAATCTCTCTGCCCTAGGTCGATCCAGATCATCGAGCCCGAGGCTGATCCAGATCAACAAGCCGCCAAGAGGCCAATCCAGATCAACAAGCCAATAATTCAAGGGAAAGAATCGAAGGATAAATATAGAGATTGTACAAACCTCAAATATCAATACAAATTGTATTTAGTCCACGAATTATAATTTCTCCGAAAATTTCGTGTGAACAAGTAGTTTCGAGAAGGGAGGAGACGTATGGGAGAGAAAAAACTTTAATTCATGACTCTAAAAAATGGAAAGGAATCATTAATTTTCCAAGAATTTAATTTTTTTTTTGTTTGAAATGAATTTGGGAAGGTTTTGGATATGAAAGATAAATTAATGAATGTAATGGTTAGATTCAAATGTAATGCGAGAGATTTGAGGAAGTAATGAAATGTGAGAGATTTAGGACGTAATGGATTAGCATTAAATACAAAATTATAGAATACGAAAGATTTTAGTATTGGTTGTTCTAATTCAAGGATAGATTAGGTATTAAATAAAAGATGAAGGATATAATTGTTAAAAAGAAATTTCTTCCATATCTGCACCACGTGCACACGCATAATAAAAGTATTGATTTTATATATTATAAAAATAATTTATTTAACTAAGTACTTTAAATTTATAAAAATATCATTAGTTTGTCAAATAAATAAATAAATATATATATATATATTTTTTTTATAATTAATGTAATTGTAAAAATATAAGATCAAAGGTAAGTATTATTAATAAAATAAGTTAGAAATTAAAAAAATGATAAAAATGATATCCAAATATAAATATGAATCAAATCCATCATCAATATTGTATCTTATTAAATTTTAAATTAATCTATCTATTATAATTTGTTGATGTTTTACCTTTTATATTGTTCACAATTTTTAAAACTATTTTCCTGTTTATTATTAGTAAATATAGGTTTAAGTTTCTTAATTATTTTCTAAATTTTATTAACATAAAACTTTCAAATTACTGTGGAAATAAATTGAACACACAAATTTATAGTTTGAGTGAATGAAAAAAATTATAAAATTTTTGGCATTCCAAAACCTTCCTATTCTACCTATAAGTATATACAAATATTTAGATATAATTAATTTATGCATATTGAATGCGTAACTTTTTACCTTCTAACTCTTCACATTCTATTCATTTCCTTATTTTTTTAACTACACATTGCTTGTTCAATTAAAATTATAAAGATTTTTCAATCTAATTTTTTTAACGTCATATATTAAAATTTTCAACTTCGAAAAATTATTTTAACTATTTGATTTCATATTATAATTATACTTATTATTTTAAAATTCTTTAACTTCCAGTCAAATGAAATGAAAAAAAAAATTTATATTCCACCTTTTTAGATTGATTATTATTGATAGTTGATTAATTAATTAATTTACTATTTGTAATTAATTAAAAACTTGGTAAGGACACAAATTTTTTTCCAAACAAAATAAGATAAGCTTTGAATTATGATTAATAAATTATTGATTTTTCACCCATCATTTTTAATAAAAAAACACATTAATTATAAAAGAAAAGCAAAAAAACAAAAAATTCTAATATTGTAGCTTCAAACTCCTTTAAAATAAAAGTTCTCACTTCATAATTCATTGACCAATATTTTTATTATTCATTTGCATCACATGAAATCAATTGAATATCGCACAAAAAAAAATTATATATATATATACACACATTGCGTCAACAAATAAAGAAAATGATTGTAACTACATAAAAAATTGAGAATTATAACGTGAACAATTGTAGGCTTAAGTCGTTGGCTCTCCAATCGTCAAGTCACCAATTTTCTTAATAGTATGCCTCTATGAATGTCTGATAGTTCAACTCCATGATTGTACTCTAAGATCATTATTTGAGAGATGAAAACTCGTGGCTGAAACAGAAAACATCTAATCACAAAGTGAATTGAAACGACCCAGTATAGGATATAGATCCAACAACGTGCTTCCTTGCAACTTGAATATGTCACTAGCATCTTAAGACGTTTTTCAATATTGAAGAATTTTTTGAGAGCAATGAATTGAGAGCACTAAAAAGAAGAATGAAGGGAAAAGTATTTGTGACCAAAATGGTGGAACAAAGCTCAAATTTATATAATAATAGATGATGAAAAGTTACAAAACTTTAGAAATTCTATCGTGAATTGTAATTAAAAGAAAAATATTTAGCATTAAAGGGATACAATAATCCTAAAATATTTTTTTCCGAGATGGCGTCTTTTTAATATATTATAGATATATAAATATAAATATAGATATAGATAGACAGATTGATTTAGATAGATATAGATATAGATTAATAAATTAAGTTTAAAAATTTTAAAAGTTTAAATGCTATTTTCCTCTCCCAAATTTTTATTATATTTTAAAAAAAATGTCTATATTAATCTCTATAATTTTAAAAAGTGATCGATTTAGTCTTTAATTACAAAATATCAACACAAAATTTTATAAATGATTGAATCCTTTTAATACAAATTTATAAATACATCTTGTGAGTTTTGAAGTATGTTTGAAAGTAACGATAGTAATAATGATTTTAAGAAAAATTATTTAATTATAATTCATTTTAAAAAAATGATATCTTAATTTGCCAAACGTGATAAATCGAAAGGGACTGATTTTGAGAATGACGAAAGAGAGGGAAAGAAATGAGATAAAAATGGTGGTTCGATTACTCAATTTTTGTCTTTTTTTCTTTAAATCTGCTAAAAACGTAAAGGAAATCCCAGTCTATTCTTTATGGCCTGCTCCGTTGAATGAAGTGCAGGTGGTAACGTAACTCTAATGGCGACGAGCAATGCAAGAGGGAATCCTCAACTCGCAACCACTGTTAATAACAAGATCGTGTTCCGGTTCAGTCTAGAATTCATCTATAAAATCTTCATCTCCCACCATTTTTTCCTACAAATTATCGATTGAAAGTTGCAGAAGAGATCAGAAGCGAACCACTTCTCTGCAGACTTGTAAATTCTTACAGCCGAAGAGAAATAGAGGAATATGGTTCAGAGTTTGAAGGTTGCGTTACTCACTAGGCGGAGCCTTCAGAGTATTCGTCTCCTCACTCAAAGAAGAACCCATTGCTCTCTTCCCAACAACTCTTCCGATTCCAACCATGATCTCGATCATGAAGTCAGTTTTCAAATTGTAAATTTTCGTTTCTTTAGGGCCTTAGTTTGGCTAATCCGCTCACCTCTATGTATCGTAGGTGCTCGTTGAAGGCAGGGCTTGGTCCAGAACCGCCATTCTTAACAGACCTTCGGCTCTCAATGCTCTCAATACCAATATGGTGAATGTTGTTTTTTTCACAATCTGCTTGTCTTGGGCGGAAAGATATTGAAATTACTCAGTAGGTGGCATAAGAATTACTTACTCTTGAATGTACTTGTTGCTTAGGGGGCTCGACTGCTTAAATTGTACAATTCTTGGGAAGAAAACCCCGATATTGGTTTTGTAGCCTTGAAGGTATTTCCTTGTTCTTGGTGAATCCCAGCCTTTTCTCTTTTCTCTACAGCTTCTGTTGAGTTTTCTTCTAGTACTGTTTTATATGGTTATTCAGTTGGCTGTAGTTTTGCAGTTTCATTTGCAGCTCATACTATTTTATTTCATTTTTAAATTTTGGATTATCAAAGGGTAGTGGCAGGGCATTTTGTGCTGGTGGAGATATTGTTTCGCTTTATCATTTGATAAACGAAGGTAAGAATCTGATATGGTTTATTACATTAACACTTTGTTGAATATATGGATTAGGAGTGTCAAACTGTCGCGCCCAGCCAGACTAATGAATCACATGTAGAAAACAAAAGTAGAACTTCTTTGCACAAAAGTAGAGCGTTTCCATATATTATAATGAGCTTACTTAGCTACTACCAAAGTTCATGAAAATGTGAAGATGAAAGCACAAAATGTCAATATCATCCTCTTTGAAGCTCTGTACATTACATGGTCTCTTGTCTTATATCCTTTTGTACTTGACTGAGGTAGTTAACTGATAGATGTCTAGGCCTTTAATGTTTATACAAATGTTTAGAAGTAAATTAGTGAATTACAGGTGTAGAGGGTTTCATCTGGCTATAATTTGAACAGTTCAAGGGGATTTGAAGGAAATGTGTGAATGTGGCTTTGTAGTTTAATTGAATAACGTTTGATGGTTTCAATTGGATGAATCTTTTTTTTTTCTCCTTACATTGACACATGGATCAATTTATTCCACTAAATTATCCACAGGTGTTAATCTTGGTCACTTAGTCATTATTCTTACAACTTCTAAAATTTGTGGTATCTATTTTATTCTCTTGACTCTTTCCAGAAGAAAATAATACTTTTTTGGGGTTTTTTCCCTTTCACGCTCTATCAGATGCTTATGCTCTAATTTAAGAAGGTAATGGATGATATATATTATTAAGACTTAATCAATAACTTAGGTTTCTTATGTTAAATTAAAACTTAGAACTGACCTTCATATGTTTAACTCGTCTGTCACTTTTGATAAAAATTGTCATCCATGTCTTGGGTGACTTTTGCAGGGAAGATGGAGCAGTGTAAAAAGTTTTTCAGCACATTGTATACTTTTATATACATACTTGGTACATACCTGAAGCCCCATGTGAGTACTCGTAATTCTCATATCTGTATCTTGAAAAGTTGGTTCCATTTTCTTGAAATTATGGTGCTTACTCAGAGCAGAAAATTATGGTGCTTTGTTCAAATTATGGCACTTTGTTTAATACACTCATCAGTAATAAAAAAAATTCTCAAACAATCCTTGTTTGAGTTGCATCTAATATATTCCTACACGTGTGTGGGTATAGGGAATGTTTACAGTGACTTTTCATCAAGAAAAAATTAGGATGCCTATGTAAAGTTATTTACTTGGTACATTTAGGATGTCTATGGAGATAGTATAGTTTTTCCTTTTGAGTTTCTTTAATCAATTATGACTTTATGCAGGAGGTCTAGCATATGTGATGAGAGAACTAAGTGAGTATATTATGACGTGTTTTCTCTTGTGTGTCTCCATCAGTGTAACTTCTATATTTAGTGGAGATAAATTTGTTCTTTTTGCTTTTGGAGAAATCACGTCAAATGAGAAAATCCACTCCTTAATCATTAAACTAGACTCATTTCTACCGATTGTGTGTCTTCTTCCACATTCACTACATGTAAGCACTTAAATTCTCCAGCGATGCGTTGATAATCTCCATGCAGGTAGCAATTCTAAATGGCATTACCATGGGTGGTGGTGCTGGAGTTTCAATCCCTGGGACTTTTCGAGTTGCAACTGATAAAACTGTAAGTCATTGGGTACACATAATTTCCTCCCCCCCACCTCCTCTTTTGAGTTTTTTTTTTTTTTTACTCGAAGCGATTCTTCTCATTTTATTCATTATTTTCTGTCAGAGGATAAGGTAATAATATCGGTATGTAATTGAATACACTTGGCATCCGGGTTAGTTGATAATTTTGGGGAATACATCAATCACTTTCTGTTTGCCATTAATTTGAACTTTATGGGGGAAATTCCCTTGGTACCCTGTTTTTCACTATATGCATAATATGAATCTCTAATGGGCCACCAATAATAAATGTATAACAAAGGGAACATGTAAGGGGTGGTGGGGGAAGTTAGAGTGAGTGTAGATGTGAGTTAGCTTTGGTACTTGTAACTAAGTGTGATGTCATTGGGTGAGTGACATACTTCAACATCTCTCATAACGTGTTCTACGCTGTTGAAAGCTAGATCCACATGAGGTGTGTAATAGAGAGAGAATATATGGGACATAGAATCTTAGGGGGAGTATGCTTTTGGTTAAGCAAAGTCTAGTAGTCTGGAAGAGAATGGAGCTCTTTGATCTTCCTGAATTGTACCCTTTTGTTCATAAATAATATAAAGTTCTATCATCTTGATATCAGAGCTGTTGCGGATTAGGGAATGGTTACAAACAAATCATGAAAACCAGATTGAATGGAGTTGACCATAGAGAAAAAGGTTGGGCAGATTAAGGAGAGATGCAAAAGTCCATCGAGAAGAACATAGAAGTGACGGTTAAGAAGTTGGAGAGAATATGGAAACTGACAAAGATGGTTTCAGCGGTGGAAAAGGATAAGATACACGTTGGAAAGGCAGTGCAAGAAACCTTACTGGTGAGTATTACCATTGGAACAGGTGTCAACAACTGTGAGATGAGTAAGAGTAACACTTGGCACCAATTTTTGGCCAACGTTGCCTGTGCATGCCATCTGTCATTCCAGAAAGTGACTTGGTTTTTCTCTCCCACTCGGCAAATGGCAACATCCCGAATAAGGCTGGTTTGTTGTTGGATTGCATTCCATGGCCCTTTGAAGTTGGGGTAGCAGACGGTAGGCCAAGTGTGTTGAGAGGACCTAGTGTATTTGGCAGAGATAAATCTTCTCCAAAGCTGATTGCGTTGGGTTATGTAGCGACAAACCCATTTGGAGAGAAGAGCACAGTTTCTGTGCTTTATGTTCCCAATGCCAGGCCGCCCTCAATGATAGGGAGCTGTGTGCGGTTCCAGTTGATGAGGTGTGGTTTCCCATTGGTGCTAGGCCCTTCCCACAAAAAATCTCTAAATACCTTGTCCATCCTCTCTGATGCTTTGCCCGAGATTCTGAAAAGAGAGAGGTAGTAAATGGGTAGGTTGGTGAGGACGGATTGGAGGATGGTATGTCTCCCCCCTTTAGAGATAAAGATGTTGCTCCACTTGCAAAGATGGTTTTGAAGTTTTTCCATGATAGGAAGCCAAAAAGCTTCTTTTTTGGGATTGCCATTGAGTGGTAGTCCCAAATAAGTACTTGGCCATGACCCGGATGAGCAGCCCCATACCTTGGCCATTCAGTTTGTGGTCTGGGGACAGATAGAGATACCAAAAATACTGGATTTGTTGTAGCTGATGTTGAGGCCTAAGGCAATTTCAAAGTATTTATGAACTTGTGGAGATTTTTGATGTTAGAGGGATCCTTGTTGGTGAAGAGTAAAGTGTCATCTGCAAAAATGAGATGGTTAATTTTAACCAAGCCACATCTAGATACGTAACAAGTGAGTTGGCCTTGTCGTTCCCCATGTAGAAGAAGCCGGTTAAGGACATCGGTGATCATGATGAAGAGAAAAGGGGATAGAATTCCCTAGTGGCTGTGAACTTTCCCCTCGGTTTTCCATTTATAATAATGGAAAAGCTTGTCGTGGAGATGCAAGCCCTAATCCATTGTCTCCATTTCACCCCGAAACCTTTGTGATGTATTACCATATAAAGAAAATCCCAATCCACCGTGTCAAAAGCCTTCTCAAGATCAAGCTAGAACATTACACCTTCCATATTCCTAGCTTTCCACTCGTCAATAATCTCATTAGCAATAAGGGTGGAATCCAGAATTTGTCTTCCTTCTACAAAAGCAGATTGATAATTAGTAATGGTGTAGGGCAGTACCTTTTTGAGGCGTTCTGGGAGGACACGAGCAAGGATTTTGTAGGCACAGGGCAAGGATTTCGTTCATCTCTTACAGTGGGCCATTGTGGCATAATGAAGTCTTATAAGTGTTTGACAAGAGAAGTGTATTGGATGTGGGTAAAACTTGAAAGAAAGAGTGCATCTGATAGTAAGTGATGTGGCATTTGCCAACAGGCTAAATTAGTTACGGTACCAGCTGGCTTACTACAGCCCTTGCCTATTCTAATCCATATACAGGATGACATTTCCATGGATCTTGTGGTAGGATTGCCAATTCTCTACTCTCGTGCTGGTTTACCCTTTATCTAAAGGTGCTATGCCCCTCAAACATCCCTTCATAGCTCGTGTCATAGCTTACATTTTTCTTCATATTTTTTTTTGTGGGTTGCCCTGGAGCATTGTTTCTGATCGAGACCCAATCTTCACTAGTTTATTCTAGGAAGAATTATTCAAATGTCCGGACACTCAATTAAAAAGAAGTGCTGCCTAACATCCACAGATGGATGCATGGATGGGAAAACAGAGGTAGTAAACTGAGGGTTGGAAACATTTTTGAGATGCTTCGCAATGCATAGGCCTCAAAAGTGGGTGAAATGGCTTCCTTCATTCAAAGCTGTTTACGGAAGGTCACCTCTTACATTCTTTCTTATTCTTGGGATATCTCACATGTTTCAGAAGTTGACCACAATGGTTGTGTGCTCTCCTCAACCATTGTGTTGATCTAGCTTCCCTGCAGTAACCTGATTGAGAAGATTCCTAAATGGTGATGTTGCTGTTGCACAGTCAGGATGATGTCAATCATTTTGTTCCATGGTAAGCTGATAAGGTTCCTTCTGGGCTGGTAACTTCAAAAATACTTCTTCAGCACGGGTCTGGTTAATCTAGTTGGCATTGTCATTGCCTCTCATACCAACTAAATGTTGAAGACACGACAAAGATTTTGCTATGAATCTCTCTTCATAAGCAATTTATTAAACATTCTTATGCACCGATAATCAGTACAGCCAACCACTAAGCAAACCCTTATAAGGCAAAACTGGACTTCTTGTTTCTTTAGGACAACATAATAAAAGCCGAAAAGAAAAAAAGACATAAAACTACAACTAAGGAGGGTCTTATAAAGCCTACATAGCATAGTAACCAGAAAAGTATACAAAATATAAAATATCAGAGTTGATGTGTGGCACAAGAAGTTAAGTAATGTGCTTGATGACATGCCTGAGTTGAATCTTCACACTCATTTCTTTTTACAAATCTGAATGGTTGGAAGATAGAAATGTACGTAACCTTAATGCATGTTTTATGTTTTCCTTAGTTGTTTAATGTGTTGTATCTCAACTCCACTCTGTTGTAATGCTTTTATGTATATTTTGCAATCTAGATCCAATTATTAAATGTATGAATGTTGCTATTATCTGAGGCTAGGTTCCTTTTAGGATAGAAATCCATCTGCCTCTGTATAGTCTCAATCTTTCTGTTACATATTGCTGATATTTGATACTGAAGCTAACACACACAATTGATATTGATACAATGTTTCCTCATCGTGCAAACCAGCATTGGATGATTTCATTTGAAAAGCTTTCTGTTTTGGTTGACAAGTACGTTTGTGCAACCAATGTCAGGTTTTTGCTACCCCTGAAACGCTAATTGGTTTCCACCCTGATGCTGGTGCATCCTTCCACCTCTCACATCTGCCTGGTCGCTTGGGTAAATTCAATACTTTCCATCATATTCTATCTGTTTCCAGGACTAGAATATCTTACATGATGGAAGCAAATTAATTTGTCACATACTTATAGAATTTTTACGTGCATGTGGCTGTTTTTAGATCAAGAGATGAAGCTATTATGCTTCCTTGTGATGGACTTGGAAGAGTAGACATTTTATCTCTCTGACTACGACTTTCTGTCAAAATCAGAATTGCATCGTAGAATAGTGATACATATTAGAAGTGTGGGAAGAGGGAGAGGGAGAGTATTTTTTTAAAATTATAAAATTTTGCCACATCATCACAAAAAACCATTTAAAAAGGCCATGTCATTGGGCCTTGAGGTGTGCACAAGCTTTAAAAGAAACGCCATGTTATTCTGTTAAAAAGGTTAACGGAAAATTGACAGCAGGGACCAAGGGATAAAAGTATACGGTTTCGAAACCTAAGGACTAAATGAAACTCAAAACTTAAGGATCAAAACAATATTTTTCAAAAATGAAAAAAAAAGAAAAGAAAACAAAAAAGAATATATCTTAGGAAAGTGGTCCGGAAATTATTGGTTCTAGTCAAGACTCCATATTTCGATTTGTAAAGATAAATTGAAGGATCCTTCTAGTATTTAAACTGAAGGATTCTACAGTTCTGTATACCTTATCAACCAGATGTTGTCTGATAGAGCTCTCAGCTGAAATATGCCCCAATAAGTATTACTTGACGAAGGCAATTACAAGCTATCAGACAATTGGAAAGGATTGATTATTTCCCTTTGCATGGAGCCAATCACTTCAAGCTTTTTACTCCTCCAGGTCACTAGATTACTCCAAATTAAGGGGTAATAGTTAGTGGTTTATTTTCTATCAGTTTTTTAACCTTCCCAATCTGCACCGAAGTATATTTCTTTTTTATTTTTTTTTCTCTTAAAATATACTTTTTTCCTATAGCAATTGGACCTTTTTAAAAAGTTTTCACTCAATCTAAATGAATGGAAAACTCGACATCAAACAGAGCTTCAAAATGAAGGTTCGGTTTATTAAGAGTGTTCTAACGGTACAATGTTTTGGATAAACTCACTCGCATCATAGCTAATTTGCTAAGATTAAGCTACTGGCCAGACCTGCTTTGTGTCTGGAGTTGCAGTTGCCCGTTCCTGTGCTTTGTCGATTTAATTTGCAACAACACTGGTGAAAAATCTACGGGCAATCATTGAAGTTTTAGATATTTGAGGGGATGAGCTGATTGGTACCTGATAATAGATTATTGCTTTGTCAGCATAGCAAAATAAATTTAAAGTTAGATCCAGAGTTAAATTGAGAAATAAATGAATGTGACAATTTCGTTTGGTTTTTTGGTTATGTTGAGCACAAACTTATTTGCAGGAGAGTACTTGGCTCTAACAGGAGAAAAGCTCAAAGGAGAAGAGATGGTTGCTTGTGGGGTTGCGACGCACTACTCTCATAGTTCAGTTAGTTCTTCAATCTTTTGGTGTTCAAGTTTTACAGTTTGGCTCTATTAAATTTTGGCATCATTTAATTTGTTACCTTTTATTCTCAGAGGCTTCCATTAATTGAAGAGAATCTAGGGAATTTGGTTACTGATGACGCTTCTGTTGTTGAAACTTCACTAGAAAAATATGGTGATCTTGTTTATCCAGATCAAACTAGTTTACTTCACAGGTGTGCAACATTGATCGTCTTCTACTTGGTTTTTCTTTGTAAAACCTTTAAAAAATGCCCTACCACCATGACATAGACATGGAACACGAGACAAAAACACACCACTTTTGCTAGAATATTAAAATGTAGAATCATCATCATTAAAACATATATTTTAAACATATTTCTATATCTTAACACATTTGAAGGATTTTGATGCATTATGAGATTTTTATCTTTTCTCTTCCTACAAGCAATTGCGGTTTGAGCCTCTATTATTGTTTACCTTGCTATTTAAATTTCTTAGAAGCCTGTGATAGGATTTCCTATCAAGAACAAACGGTAGAAATCACAACACAAATCAATAAGGGAGGACCAATTCAAGAGGGTCATCTAACTCCTCCACACTTCTGTTAAGAAAAAAGTAAAAACACAAAATACAGTAGATATCCCAAGTTAGTACAAAAGCAACATCATATAAAGGAAACACGAACAAAAGCCACATAACTACACCCAAGGGAGTTACAAAGAAACAGCAATATTCACAAAGAAACTAATTAAAACAGTTGATTCTAAACGCGGCTGTCATCCACTTCTCGCGTTTTGCCCTTCCATAAGTAAACCTTCTGTATTGGAGCCTTGGAGGTCTAACACCGTTTGTCTGTTGCTTGGACAGTAGCTATCTTTCTTCTGTCCCACCCCTCGGTTGATTTTCTAATAATATGGCCTTTAAGGGTAAAATTAAAATAAACAATTTTGGAGACTTCAAGTTTCTTTTGACAACTTTAGGGAGTGTCCAAGCGTGTTATGGCTGGGCATGTTCAACAATGGTAGTCTACTTAGAACAGTATTCCTACTTACTAAGAAAAGACATGCTTTTACCTTATACGTCTGTTTATTTATACTTTTTTGTAGGATTGAAACACTTGATAGATGTTTCGGCCATGACACTGTTGAAGAAATCATTGATTCGTTGGTTAGTGCATATTCCTAGATGTCTGTTCTATATTTGATTATCTTTTGTTCGATGCAATATAAAGACTTCACGAGGTGGTATTTGAACTTTTGCTAGGATATCTATATAGATTTTTTCCTACGAATTTCCTTGCAGAAAAAAGATTGTTAATTCTTTTAATTTTAAAATCACCATACTTTCAGGAAACCGAGGCTGCTGGAACAAATGATTCATGGTGCACCTCCACTCTAAAACGACTGAAAGAAGCATCACCGTTGAGCTTGAAGGTCTCTTTGAAATCTGTATGTCGTTTCTCACTCTCTTATTTCCTTCTCTAGTCTTGTTTTATTTACCATCATGACTTCTGGAAACTGGAATACTCTCCCATAATAACTGGTTCCATCTCATTTTTGTCTTCCTCCCCACCCCTCAACATAGAAAAATCTTATAATTTCTTCTATTTCTGTTTCCAACTTGACTTACCATTATTATTGAACTAGTTCAGATACGAGAAGGAAGATACCAAACCCTCGATCAGTGCTTGATTCGTGAATACCGAATGTCCTTACAAGGGATATCCAGGCAGATCTCGGGTGACTTTTGTGAGGTACAAACCAGATCACTATAAGACCTCTTATGTAAGCTGCAAACTTTTCTGATCAATTTGTTATTCTTTCATCTTGCAAAATAATGTGCTCATCAGGGCGTTCGCGCACGGGTGGTGGACAAGGATTTATTACCAAAGGTAAGAAGATAAAATCACACCAAAGTTTCTCATGTATGAAACAAACTTTAGAATCTAAATTTGAAATAGAGGTAAGAATGAATAATTATAACTCGACCAAAAATGTTTACATGACATGTTCATTAGATATATTTTCGTTGACAAGAACTAGATCGACCAATGGGTATAAACCTTTCGTTAAGGTGCTTAACAATAGGGGACTAAACAGAAACATAATTCGAAATTTAGATATATAGTTCAGATTTCTCAGAGACTAAATAGACACAATACTCGAAAAGTACGGAAACTAAATTTATGTTTAACCTATTTTTAGTAATAAAAAATTGTGGAAACATTTGAGTTTGGTTTATTATGATGTCAGTGGAATCCTCCTACCTTAGAGCAAGTATCTGAAGATATGGTGAACCAGTATTTCTCTCCACTTAGTGAAAAAGAGCCTGATCTTGAGCTACCCACCAAACTACGTGAAGCATTCCCTTGATTTTACCACTCAAATTTATACATTTTGGCGTTCAAAAATTTCGTACCTATTTATATGCTCAAATTATTCAACTGAAGATTGCCTGAAATAGTTACAGGGTTCCCAAAATTGCTTGGCCAATCCTTCAGGAGAATCTCCTCCATTCAAAGAATCTGTATACAGATTCTGATCTTTAGGTTGGTAACTGCACATTTTAGCCTGCTTAATTGCCAAAATGCAGTGTTTATGCTTTCTTTTATGCAAAAAAAACAGAGATGAGAATGCTGTAATTTCATCACATCAACTGTCATTATCTGCTTGATGAGTGAAACTTTATGTTTCAATTATATTGATGAACATTCGTTCTCATTAAATAAATAAGTAGGTTTTCTTCTTCTTATGTTCTCATAGCCATGTATATATAAATATTTGTGAGTATTAGGGCCAAGATTGCACGCACGTTGACCTTATCTTATAGAACAACTGTCTGGCCCCTACAGTATGTGGTTGCTTCGGAGATTTGTTGGATTTTAAATCTTATGTTGGTGGCTATTATGGTTTGAATCGATTGTCCGTGAGTTCCTTTACTTTTTTACTTTTTCACTAACTTAACGAACCAATTGGTTACTTCAAGTGTAACTTGATGAATGTCTCATGCCTCCTTGCTTGTTTCTTAATTCGATGTGTGTCTAAAATCTCGAGGTGTGACATTTATTTCTTCATATTAATTTTGATCTTGCTATTTATTGTTATGTGATGTACATCTTAATGACATCAAAGTTGTATCTCTAATATGATAAAACTATTTTCTACAAGTAAACTAAAAACAATCTAATGATATGAAATCATATTAAACAAGGAAAATTGACTTTTCTTCAATTAAACTAATGAATGTTGAAAGCTAATCGGTACAATTTCTTACTAGGAGCAATTTTTGTGAGGAAAATGATGAAAAACAAGAGTTTATCAAAGAAAATTTTCACTTTTTACCCTTCGATATGACTTTGTCAATAACACATTTATGAAATATATATCTATATTTGAGAATCTTTGAATTTTATTATAAATCTATCAAAGGGCAGTCGGTAGACAATTTTCTGACTTTGCAACTTGCATTGCAAGCTATGACATTTTTCTTTTTCTTCTTTTTGGGGGGTTTTTTTTTTCCTTTTAATAATGTTAACTTATTTACAAAATATAAGTTTTCCAAAACTTATTTCGAGAATAATGCTCGAAAAATCACTAGAGATTGTATTTTTTTTAAATGACATAATAATGTGGGTTTTTTTTATACAACATGTTGGTAGGAAATTCGAACTCACAACCTCTTGGTTTGAGGTATATGTCAATTACCGAGTTTTGTTTGCTTTGACCATGATAATGTAGTTTGAATAGTATTAAAAAATAGGGTAGAAAAATTGCAATCATTTATTGTAATTTCAACTAATTTAAAATTTTTAATATTTTCATACTAGGTATTTTTTTTNATTTTTTAAATTAATAATATGAATGTTATAATTATTATTTGGTACTTGAAGTGGGACTCAATTTTCCACGACATGCATTTGAATAAATAGTATTAATTTAGTCTAAAAGTTATATTTGGAAAGAAACAAACAACCAGACCAATAAAAAAACAAAAAGAAAAAATAATGAATATTTCATGTTTTGGAATGAGTTGGAAAGATATGGCATGTGAGGGTGAGGGCTTTTTTCTTCATATATATATATATATATATTATGTATTTTGATGGGCCAGTTTACAGTAATTCAATTCAGAAAAAATCATTCAACTGGTTTTAATTTTTCCTTTAGGAAAAATAAAATTGATTTCAATACAGTAAATTTTATATTTGAACTTTGCCAAAATGGAGTGACTTTCAAGGTTTTTTTCTTTTTCCTTTTGAATTCAACAAAAGTGTAGAGTTATGCACAAGCTGGCGTGATTTTCATGCTTTAAGAGAAAATAAATAGGGAAGTTATGGCAAATGATAGATTTTAATGGTATGGTTTGTTGATTTTTTTTTTCCCTTTGGTACAACAATATATGAGAAATGGATTTGAATCCAAGATCTTTTAGGGCTCGTTTGTTAACGTTTCCGTTTCTTGTTTCTCATTTTCAATTTTCTTAAGAAATTTAAGTCATTCTACAACTAACTATGTTTCTTGTTTCTCATTTTTTGGAAACATTCTCAAAATTACAGAGAAATTTTGGAAACAATTAAAACAGGTTTCTTCTATCTTCGTTCCCATTTCTAATTTGTTTCAAAACATAAATAAAAAGATGTTGTATCATACTTGAATTTTTGGATGTTGAAGCCATGCAATTCATTTTTCTTCATTAAAAATGAAGAAATAGAAATAGAAATAAGAAATAAGAACGTTACCAAACGAGTCCTTAGTTGCTCATTTTTTTTTCTTTTTGACTTTGAGTGAAAATTAGGTCAGTAACACTTAATTATTATACAGCTAATGAGGGCGATAAGTATTAGTCCCAAAATTTATGTTTTAGTCCTCGAGTGTCATGTTTTAAACTTTCAAAAAGAAAAAAAAAATCGTTGGATAGTGTAAGACGTGACACTTAGTCACTTCTTGATTTTTATAATATGTAGTAAACATGACACTTAGAATTGTGTGATAACGAGGGCAAATTGATATAGGTACTCTATCTATACGAAAAAAATGCAGTTTTTGTTTTGTAAGATCATTCACTAGGAACTTTATAGTTGGGTGAACCTACCAACTATTAGGAAGGCAGCATGCATGTCGAAAGAAATCGTGTTAATTTGTAGAGACAATCTTCCATTTTTGGTGGCAACTCAAGATATTATGTGGCACAAAAGTTTTGCAGGGGGATAGAAGGAGATTTTGAGACATTGAATCTCCGAATTTAGATTTTGAATCATTTGGACATATCTCAACTAGTTAAGGTATATATTCTCGATCAAAAGGTCAGAGGTTCAAATCTCTACCCCACGTGTTGAATTAAAAAAAACGTCTTTAAATTTAACTTACTCATCCACCATGAATACATAGGAGATTAAATACCGGTTGACTATAGGAGTTTATGCCCACATCAATTGTAGCTAGAATTGTGTGATCATATAGGAGGGTAATTAAAATAGACCTATATGATGAGTTTCTAACTCTTATACAAGTACTTTGTCCCAAGAATATAATTAGTGTATTTTAGGAATAACTTATGGTAGCTAATAGACAGCGAACCTTTAGGTGAATATAATGCTCTATCTCGAATGTTTGGAACTTGAATATACGTTTGTTGAAGTTATAAAGTGTCTTAGTGTATGCCACCATTCTCATGAGACGATATCAACTTATATGTATACATATATAATGAGGGTGTGGTAGAGTGTAGGTATTCTACTTACGAGAAAAGAACTCCAAGTCAATAAAGAAAAACACGAGTAAAGAAAAAAATAAGAATAAATCACATCGAGTCTCATTGAGTCCAACATTAAATCCTTAATTGGTCAAAAAGAAAAAGATAGCACCGAGGGAAGGAAAGAACAAAATATTGTTTGTGTTGTTATGTAAAATGAAGATGACTTGCTTGACGGATGAAGTGAGTCCACCTCTCTTTGGCTTCAACAAATGTATTAGATTTTCATATACAAAAAAAAATTATATGTCAATTATTGGTTCTATTATATCATAAATAATCGATTAAAAAAGTTTCAAAAAAGGTATCATTGATATGGATAAAGAATTAATAATAAGAATCTAAACTTATTTAAAAAGGTTGGAAAATGTCTACTAATCTAATTTTTTCTTATCACAACGAGTGGGTGGGGATTTGAACACACGATCTTATAGTCGAAAATACATGTCTTAACCAATTGAAGTAGGTTTAGGTTGGTATTGGTTAATCTAATTATTTTTATGAATTTATTGACTTCTACAAAATTTTCCAAAAGTATCCATCGACATTGCATTTTATCAATATTTTTACTTGATATTTTCATAGAATTGAGACCTCAATATTTTTGTTGACATCGACACTTAAAACATTAGCTTTACTCGGCAAACACCGATTTTTCACTTGTCAAGGTTTTCTACTAAAAAAAGTATTTTCTCGTATAAGCTTCTTCAGTGTGTATTTGCTCCCTCCCTGAATCGTACATGTTGAACTTTGTGCTATAAAATGAATGAGGACTAGGACATGGGATTGAAAACTTGAAACTTGAAATGTATTTTGTTTCTTATATTCAAAAGTCTGAATTAATAATTAAATTACTTATTATGAAGCAAAATTCTATAGATTTTCAAATAATAAGGAGGAATTAAAAAATGACAAATACAAATAGAAGCCTATGAGATTAATGGAATGCAATTTACAAAAATCCAAAGAGTTTACACATTGAAGTACACTTTTTATATTTAACACAATACAAAGTTACAAGGATCACATACTACAAGAATTAACCCTTCGTTTATAATAACAACAAACAAATCTGTGCATTTAATGACTTCAAAACGATGTATAGAAATTACACCTTAATTCTTTTTCATATATATGCTTTGATTTATGATAATGTATTGATTTTGAATAAAACTATATATCATAAATTAAAACTGATCATTTATTGATAATAGTACTAAAACATACAATTATTTAAAAATTAGTCAAATATATGTTCTTATTATTATTATTCCTATCTGATCAAACCAAATTCTTAATCATAAATTGGTTAGCCTATACTCTATAACAAATCTCATGTTATTATTATTTGTTATAATATCTCAATCGTTCGTAAAATATTTAGAAACAAAATTAGCTATAGTGCCATAATATTAGAGAGTGTCTCTTCATTATTTAAATAATACTTTTTAATTGTTAAAAGTACTTCTTATTTTTTAATGATATTTTTATTGCTCACGAACAAATATTTAATGAGATTTGAAAAAAAAATAACTTTAAAAAATGTTTCTAATTTTTTTTTCTTTTTAAGTTTAACATGTATTTTTCTTCTAAATAGGGTGGAGAAGTGTCAATATAGATAAAATGCTTCATACTTTCAAACATACTCTTAATCATTGGTTTATTATGATATTCAAGAACCAAAATCATTTCCAATTTTTCAATAAAAATTAGTTAAATTTATATTGTGGTTGTTGTTTGTTGATATTACATCATACATTTTTTTATCATTAAAATAGTTACATTATTAATTATTGATTAAAATAATATATCAATGATAATTAATAATTAAAAAAAAGTTTGGTTATTGGTTAGTTAATAATAATATAATTGGTTATAGCCAATAACAATGTCAAATGATGTTTTTTTTTATGGAAAAATGATTGCTTATTTTTTAGAATACAATTTAAAATAATTCTTGATATTTTTGCCAGTAACATA